AGACAGACCTATAACTATTTACAGCCTTTAAAAAAAGTTTCCCCTTTTCCTTTTTCCCATGTTTATCCATATAAGATAGGCAGGATAAACAATTCTGAGGAGAAAACAATGGGGTCAACAGCTCTGGGGTGAAGGGCATGAGAGAGGAGGTGGTGGGAGAAAGGGATGGGGGAGCCAACAAATTCAGGGACAAGGGAACAAGAGATCTAAAATCCCTGGTGAGGAGAGCATAGAATGCCTGGTGGGGTTTGATCAAGTCCAATGCAGCTGAGAGAAAGTACTGAGAGCCAATTGAAGGTCAAACATGATAGAGGGACAGGAAAAAAGTAAAAAAGCAAGGGAGAAAAGAATTAGGAAGCAAAAGGCATTTATAGAGGTATAAATATAGGCATGTACATATGTAAATATATTAATATGTAATGATAAGGATATATAGGTCTATGTACATATATTTAAATGTTAAGTATCAAGGTAGCAGATGGACTTTGGGCTTCTACTTAAGTCCTTCCTCAACACAAGAACACTTTGTTCAAATAACCCAGCATTCTGTGATGCTCACCTTCCTGACATGATTGCTGAAGTCAAAACGGGTGCATAAGCAAATGTGGTGAAGGAAGCTGATGGTGCACAGCTATCAAAAGAAACAGCGTCTTGGATCTTAAAGGCTTGAAGGTAAACAAGTGGCCATCTAGCTCAGAAGCAACAAAGCCCACATGGAAGAAGCACACCAGCCTGTGCGATCAAGAGATGTCAATGGGATCGGGCATCAGAAGACCCCAAACAAATACATTGATGCAAATGATGGGGGTCGGAATGCCCATCTGTAGACAATTGGACATTCCCTCACAGAAGGGTCACAAAGAAGGCACTACTCATCCAGGGTGATACAGAGCACCAACGGAACACACAACATTCCTCTAGTTCTTTAACGCTTCTGCTCCGCCCCTCCCCCCACTATCATGATCCGTTCCACTTAGAAACCCGGCTAGGCCCGAGCATGTACACTGGTAAAGGTAAGAGCTCTCGACACACGGAATCCAGGGCAGATGAGACTCTCAGGAACAGTGACCGAAGTAGCAAGACCATGGAGGGGGGTGGGGGGTGGGGGGAGAACCACCTGCAATGACTGATGTATACCTCTCCCCACCCCAACCAGGACGGACAACAGAAACGTGGGTGAGGGGAGACAGTGGACAGTGTAAGATATGAAAATAACAGTAATTTATCATTTATAATTTATCATGGATCCAGGAGGGTGGGAGGGAAAAAAAGAGGAGGTGATACCAAGGGCTCAATCAGAGAATGTTTTAAAAATGATGTGGCAAACATATGTACAAGTGTGTTTGATACAATTGATGTATGGATTGTCTGTCATAAGAGCTGTAAGAGCCCCCAATAAAATGATCCATTAATAATAATAAAACAAAAAATAACCGTAACACCTTGAAAGATCAATAATGCAGCTCTCAGGCTTTGCAAGCCACTTGAACTCCCTGTTACAGCCTGAACAGTGCCCTCCCAAAAGACCCGTTGCAGTCTTACCCCGTGAGACTGGGCCCTCCTCTGGGAACTCATCTTTCCTTGACAAGAGAACAAGCCAGACCACGGCAGGGTGGGTCCTAAGTCTAATCCTGAGTTTTTATTTTATAAAAGAAGAGACCGGATAAGGAAACAGACCGACCCACAGGGGGAAGACACCATTTGAGGACCCGTCCACAACCCAGAACGCCAAGAAATGCCCAAGCCCACAAAGCCCCTCCGCTCTGGCACAGGGAAGCAGGAGCATGGCCCCGCCAACACCCGAATGCCAACTCCCAGCTTCCAGAACGGGGAGAAAGTGAATTTGTTCTTCCGGGCCACCCATATTGTGACGGCAGCCCTAGGAACCATGACACCATCTAGATCAGAAAATCTTGCTCCATGTCCTTAAATAACGACCAGCTGAAACTAGGAGCACTGAGTCGAAGTCAAATTTCCATGAAAACCTAGGCCATGTCCTCCCTGCTGCTCTCGCCTGTGTGCTCAGAGACCCACGGGCTACTCTTTAGCAGAGTCTTGCAGGGTGAGAGCGCTCGGGCGCATTTTCCATCGTGTGGAGCTGAGACGAAGGGCAGGGAATGGTACACGCCCAATGAAAACATGGTAAGACTCGAGCTCCACACAGGACGCTGCACTCCCATCTCCTACACGGGGAAGCTGCTCGCTTCAAACGATGGTAATTAGGGACAAAAATATTTCCAATTCTGGAAGGTCATTGTTTTCAGTAACAAGCTGTAGTTTCTGTGGTAGAAATGACAGCCAACATAGAAGGGAGACGTGCTCGCTGCTGCCTATCTGGGAGTTTGAGACGGGAAGCAAATGTACAAACGGTGTGACCTGCAAAAGCCACCCGACTGTTCCAGAGGGCGCGGAAACAGCATGGGGAGGGGAAAGAGCTAATATTCTCTGAACAAGCTCATCTTTCAAAACTTGCGCCAAGCCACACATTCCACTCCACACACACCTCGGAGAGCCAAGCGTGGAATGTGCACAACAAAGAATTTATTCAGAGATCTCTGGGATGTTTTCCTCCTCAAAAATGATGAGAGCTACAGGACTCTGGATGGGATTGTGGCCACTTTGGAAGAGGAATCTTTTATGGAGGTACATAGCAAGGCTCGGCAAATGAGTATCTGAGGTTAAGTGAGGAATTCTTAGGACAGCTAGCTTTTTGAGTGTGTCTGTCTTTTGGGGTTTTCTTTTTTTTTCGGGGGGGAATGGGGAGTTTTTATTAAAATGTTTCTGAATGATAACCTAGTATTTTGAAAGAGTTAGAGGACAATACTTTATGCAAGTATTCACAAAAATTAAGACTAAAAGGCTTTGTAGTGAAGATTTAACAAGGTCTAACTTTGTGCTTCCAAATGGAACCAAAGACTGTTTACATAGATCAGCATCTGGGAACTATTTTCCTGCCACCCTGCTCTGCTTGGCCCGGCTCCGGCTGCTCTGACGGGTCAGGGTCAAGTTTTGGCTTCCAGAGGAATCTTCTGAACGCAGCTCCTGGAACAGAGACCTCTTCCAGCCTGTCCCCAGCGAGAAGGTCGCAAACCTCGGCGACACAATCATGACAATGGCTGGGCAGGAAGAAGAAAGCGGCTTCTCTCGCAGGGGGATTAACAAGCTACTCAATGACACTGTCCACTTAGCTTAGGCAATTTGAGAGTTAACTAAATTTACAGTGGAGCCCTGGCTGGCACAGGAGATAAAGCACCCAAAGGTGGGAGAGGTGGCGATCTGAACCCACACACGCAGTTGTCCTGGGAGACAAGCTTGGTGCTCTGCTTCCCAAGGTCACAGGTCACAGCCATTGAAAATCCTCTGGGGCAGTTCCACCGGAGCACCTGGGGTCAGTCACCAAGAGTTGGAACGGGCTTGAAGGCAAACCACAGCAACTAATTCATCCTGTAACCTCTAAAACATACCACCATCGATGTTTATTTCAGATTTTAAACTGCTTAATGTAGTTGGAATAGAGGTCCTGTCAATGCAAAGTGACAGGAGAAGGATTGGAACCAAGAGCAAGGGGGACAAACTGAAAAGGTTTATCTGCCTCTATCAGCCAAACCCAGACCTGGACTCTAGTACCAAGTGTTGTATCGGGTTTCCCAGTGAATTTCAGGAAAAGATGTCCGTCCTTGTCAGTACAGAGTCTGGAATGATCATTTGCAAGGGACT